CCAAAGTCACCCAGCCAGTTTTCAAGCCTAAGGTGGGACTAGAACTCACCGTCTCCTGGTGATTGGCCCAAAGTCATCCAACTGGCTTTCATGCCTAAGGTGGGACTAGAACTCCCCGTCTCCTGGTGATTGGCCCAAAGTCACCCAGCTGTCTTTCATGCCTAAGGCGGGACTAGAACTCCCCGTCTCCTGGTGATTGGCCCAAAGTCACCCAGCTGACTTTCCTGCCTAAGAGAGAACTAGAACTCACCGTCCCCTCCGTTCTAGCTGCCAAGAAAGGAAGCACTTTCCTCTTGTAGGAAAACATATCTTAGATAAGAGAGTCAGGAGTCCTTAGTCGCTTAACAGTCAGTTGGGGGGGGGAAATTCAGGAAAGAGCTGCCCAAATACATCACGCAGTCAAAAGGAGCGGTGGGAGATTTGGCTCCAGACAGGCAAGATCCTTAGTTAATGTCTCCTTAGAATAAAACATAATTAGTTCATTGGGACTGACACACGATTCCTAGTTAATTTTTACAGGACAGGGCCTTCTGGATAATTGCTGATCTTCCTACAGCAATAACATTTTGACTCATGTCAATAAGATGAAATGGTGTGAATGTTATTGCACGCAGCCTAAGGGACTAGTCCTCATGAAGCCTTCAGAATGATTTGAGCCGGAAGTTCCCCCCCTTTTTTTTAAAGGGTCTGTTTTCTCTTTTCCTTCTCAATAGGTGGGAATCTTTTGTTGACTTCCCCCAAGAACGCAGCTCGGTCAGCCTGGTCAGCCTGGGGGGCACGCTCTATTTAATTGGCGGTTTTGCCACCATCGAGAGCGAATCTGGAGAACTGGTTCCCACTGAGATGAATGATGTCTGGAGGTGAGAAGCCCTGAATATTAGCGTCCCTTTCCTTCCTTCCTTCCTTCCTTCCTTCCTTCCCTCTTTCCTTCCTTCCTTCCTTCCTTCCTATTTTTTGGTAATCATTTTATTACTGTTTACAAGTGCAAAGATAAATTTAGAAGGCAAGCAAAAAAAAATTGAAAGGTGCCTACAGTCACTGAAGGAAGGAAGGAAGGAAGGAAGGAAGGAAGGAAGGAAGGAAGGAAGGAAGGAAGGAAGGAA